GGCAGAGTGAAGGGGAAGGGGATATACACAGGGAGGAGAGATGGAGGGCAGACGAACAAAGAATGATAAAGGGAAAGTACGGAGTGTGGAGTGGAGATGAAGGCAAAAGAGGATAAGAAAGGCTCAAGAATGAGTCCGTCTTTGACGACAGAGAGGTCATACATTCTAAGGATGAGGTGGATGAACACATGGAAGACCTAGCTGGGCATTCTCAGTGCAACAATTGCCACGTGCTGGCATTGAGCATGCCCACCATTCACCCCCGACAAATGGCATGTCGATCGCAGGCCAAAACGAAGGAAGAACAGTCATGCATTCAGTATAGCGCCCATGGCCACAAAATGGACATGTAGTGTCCGGATGCGAAGGGTGCCTGCAGTCAGGAACGGAGGGACAGTCCTCTGCACACATGGATGCAGAAGCCATGTCATTATAGTGATTGTGACAGAGACAATGGTGGCTACAGCTGAGTGTAACAGTGTTTGTAGCTGTGCAAAGGAGAAGGTCGCAGAGTGTTGGTACATTGTCTTGCTGAACCACGGAGCCAGAGGAATGATCTTCGACATAAAAGAAATTGCAGATGGTTTATTGTGGCAAGAAAACAGCATCATTTTGTAAGAAATAGGTGACATCAGTCATGGCATGGACCACGGTGCCAATGTCCCACAGCTCCCAGTGGTCAAAGGCACGTACAATGGCCATATAATAGCCAGGCCCGTGCGCAATGCAAGCAGAGATGTGGGATGGAGGATTAAACCACTCACCTGCTCGAACATTGCGTAGTTCAAGTTGACGGCCCCTCATTGCTCCTTCGCTGGTATAATTACAATCCTCTGGCTGTAGTTGGGGAAGATCAGCATCAAGCTGAAGGGCGATTGCAAGGAAGTCTGATGGTGTATAAAACAGGCGGTGGGGAACGTGAGGACAGATATTAGTTGCCGTCAGACCACAGAGATTGGTGACGTTCTCAGGCCAGTTTGTTCGATGCTGGCCAACAATTTGCAGATCACCGCGATGGGTGTTGCAAGCCCAAAATGTCTTGGGTCGTTTGCTGGTCAGTCATTTGCAGATCACCCATGAGGTCTGCACGTGGCGGAGCACAAATTTGTGGTTCATCCGAACAATGCTGGTCAGCCATTTGCAGATCCCCCATGTGGTTTACGCCTAGTGGGGTCGACTGCAATCCGGGCAGATCATCTTCCAATCACTCAACGTTCGGGGCTCCATCCTGAGTAGGGACTGTCCCTGGAGTCAGGAGTGTACTCTTGGCAGGGACGATATCTTGTTGTACAGGTGAGTCGTGAATATCTAATGCCGCAGGGTGTAAAACATGGTGTTTGGACTGCGTGCAGGCAGCTGGACTGTCTGCAGGAAGCGCAGGAGCAGATGTTGCCGTCTGAAACAAAGGAACCGCAACAACCTGTGGAGGAGGCACAGAGAGAATTGGGGCAGACAAAGAAACAGGTTGCTAATACTCGGACAAGTGACGATGTCGCGGATGTCGTCGGCAATACACAACAAGAGTAGTGGTGTGGCAAACAGAAGATGAACTTGTACCTAGCAACCAAGGTGCAACAATGGGAGCAATGGAAACTGGAGAGTCTGTTCGCAAGCGAGACCGTGAAGGAGATGGGGGTGGTGAAGAGGAGCTCAGCCGTCTGCGGCCACGCACAGAAAGAGATAAGAGGGAGGTGGATTGGGCAAGATTTCAGACTGAAGGACGTGAGTGTGGGAGAGACTGTTATGTTCTTCGCACTGGAGCTGCAGGAGAGGAAGCTGTAGCAGTAAAAAGTACACTAGGGGGAATTACAGCTATGGAAACTGCTGTACTGAAAACTGCAGCAGTGGAAACTGCAACTGTGGAAACTGCAGCAGTGTAAACTGGAGCAGTGGACACTGCAGCAGTGGAAGCCGCAACAGTGGACACTGCAGCAGTGGAAACTTCAGGATTGGAGACAGTAGCAGTGAAAACTGCGGTAGCAGCAGATGAGCAAGCAGGGACAGGACGAGAGTGTCGTGGGGGCGAAGAAGAAATTGGATGATACAAGGACCATGGCAGCATGCGTCAGAACCGCTGAGAGAGACGCATCACATGCTTAGGATAGCGATGTTGGGGGGAGCGAATGTAGCAGGTCCACCCCTTAACAAGGGTTGGTGGGGAATGCCCACGCGAAAGCATGCGACGAGTAAGTGTTGTTGTTGCAGTTCAAAAGTCCTGCCAATTGTTACAGATTTGTTAAAATCTGGTCAATTGCCCAGTGAACACACCAGCCGGTTGATGGGAATGGATGTTGGAGGTCGCACTTGGATAACGAATAACAGGGAAGTTCCAAGCAGCCGCTTTATCAAAGACGCTCATGCGAAGTGAGCCATCAGAACGGACCCGTAGATGCATACCTAAAAAGGTACACGAGCCATCTGTCACTGTATAGTCTCCTTCCACTCAGGCCCATAGTGCTCTGGTGGAGGAGGTAATTGTCCCCATGAAAGAACATCATCAATGAGGCGATAGGTGAAGGCATATTGTTGAGCGGCTTGAAGATCATGTTGACGAGTGTCATTAACTAAGCGTGCTTCATCCTAATACAGCGTCAGATTATAATTTTTGGGAAAGCATTCGTTTCCATAGGAATTGTTTCCAAAGCGTGCCATCTCTAGTGTACAGAAAAGTGTTTTGTACAACAAAGCGAAGATGTTGGAGAATATGCGAACTGAAAAGGGTATCCAGACCTGAATCAGTTGTTCATTGGCCACAGCAAGGTTTTCGAATAACCATGTCGAGGGCAACACAGCGTGAATGTATGCGAGCATGCCGAAGGGCATAAGCATGAGCTTCATCAACAGTTTTTGCCACATTATTCAGAATGCGGTAATGAGGAAGGTTGGTGTACATTGTTGTAAAATCAACATTGTGAGGAGAGAGGCCACAAAGAGACGATGCATTGTTGCCCAGGTCAATCATCACTTCGTCGACACTCTAAACGATCCAGCACCGTCGAACACCAACCTGTTGATAGAGCTCAGTGTCTTTCTCGGGAAGAGTAGAGATCACTCCTTGCAAAGTTGCGTTGAGATACGACGAAGTAGCCCTTGTGCTAGCCAAGGGTTTTTGATTGGTGGACGAGGGCGAGCTCGCGGGGGAACAACACTGTTATTTTGTGCTGCGACTCCAAGAATGCTGCGAAGAGCTGGAGGAGACTTGTGAGCTTTGAGTACATAGTAAAGGTACGGTAGGGTATCAGTGTGGGTGTAACCCCAATGGTGATTCCATAGTGCATGGTGGTTGAGCACATCAGCGACGGATTCATGAGGACGAGTATAAGTGGGACTGTCCGAATGGGTAGAGAGATGAAACAGATACCAATTCTTGCAGCAAATTGCCAAATTATGCGATTTTTGGTCCACAAGGACAATGGCAAAGTGTTGTTGAAGATGGCGCAAGGAGGCACGTGTAGAACGAAGTGAACGTGGCTGGCTCACATGATTGGAGAACAAAGATGCATTGCATTGACAATGCGCAAGGATTGCAGAACGCCAGCTGTTCAGTTTCTGAGAGAGAGACTAAAAAGAAGCAGATCGAGAACGCCCGGCCAACAACCTTTTGTAATTGGCAATGTACTCATTTAGTCCAATTGCCAGTGCCTGGAGCAAATCAGCAGTTTCCCCATTCAGCCGATACTTCGAGCCTTCTTGAAAAAGCTTGCGAAGGCTATCATCGGAGATGATATTGTAGTCAACAGATACAATATGGCCATCCACAAGATCAGAACAATGTGGAAAGGCTCTGTCGCATTCGCAATTAGAGGAGTCGGGTAAGGTCATGCCAGGAGTAACACTCAAGGCCACATCATCGTTAAACAGAGCTGCCTGGTAAACCGTCGGCAGAGAGGGAGAAAAGGACAACAAACTAGGGGCTGTGACAAACTCTTTCGTCGGAGTTTCACCCACTCATCTGGAGGCTGAACCCTCAACAGTCTGCAGAATCCCCTCACTGATTACACTGTAAGTGTTAATCCACCTCAACCCCGGTTGCCTGACAACTGATACCCCGAGGTGGGCACCAACCACTGCCCTCAGGGTACCTGTGACGAAAATCAAAGCTGACCATCACTCACCCACACCAGATGGAAAACTCTACAGACTGTCGGTTCACACCCCATCACAAGCCAGCAAAAAACACCCCACGAAACAAAGAATGGTCTGTCACAGCCAAAAAATACACTCCAGACACGCCGCTGGCACTAGAGGCACAGCATGGCCGCGTAGTGACGGCCCCGTCCACTGCCGCTCGACCTGACCGGAGAAAACCGTAGCAGGGTGCTAGCGAAGTCGTGATATATATTGTCAAACAGAGATGCCCGGTAAACCGTAGGGAGAGAAGGATATTAAATAAAGCTCAGCAGTGATTTTTCTCCGCCAAATGAAAAGAAAACCAGACCGCAACATGTGCATTTTTCGTATTTGCACTTTCCTTTTCTTTTTTCTAAAAGTTTGTGGGGGGTGTCCGGGATAATTTCAGGCGCGGCAGTTCGTCAGCAGGCTGGACAGACCGGGTTCAGCCTTCTGACGGCACCAAGAACTCCCCCACTCACACAGAGGACTCTCTCAAGATCAGGACACTCAGCTTCACCACACACACACACACACTTTCACAGCTGTCTGTATTTGGCCAGAGAGACTCGCATAGCGCTTCCAGCCTTCCAGAGCATTGCAAGCTCACTTTCACTGACACAAATCTCACAACTGCCCTCCCCAGTGGACTGCTGGCCTTCTTTTGTCAAAGCGAGGGGAAGAAAAGATGAGAAAGACCCCCCCCCCCCTTATGCCCAAGCCAACAAACGTTTAATTGTGTTTAAACTTGAACTTTTAAAAACTTTATGGTGCATTCATAATAAGATACAAGACACCAAAAGAGAAGCAAGAACAACTGAGAACGGAACTTGTCCGTGAACAACGAATGAAAGCACACGTACGTTAAGGACTCTGTCCAGAACACACTGTCATAGGGTCTACACCTTCCTATTATAGAAGTATAATAACCTGCAGGCGCTGTTTGAAAGAAGGGAGAAAGAGAAAACAGAAAAGGATAAGAAAGAGGAAAAAGAAAAATGAGGAGATGCAGAAGGGATCCCTACAGGAGTTAGATCTACACATTGCTTTTAACTTTGCAAGAGGGTCTCCACCTGCCAACCCAACTCAGCCATCCATCTATCTGTTGTGTCTGTGTGCAGCCGTCCTTTTATATCATATCCGTTTAATGGAACTACAATACAATACTTGGCATCCACATTAAGGCCATACTCACACTACCACCACCATAAATGTATCTGACCGCAATTGAAGCCAGACGTGGATGTATCTGGCTGCAATTACGTCAAAAAATAAATAAACAAGTCCTAATGTGAGTACGCCCTAAGCCATGTGCTCGCCCCCACGCAACAGGGGGGTCTGCACCAGCCAACAACTTCGCCATCCACCTGTGTGTGTCTCAGCGCACCCGTCATTTTATTATTATATAATCGGTTTAATGGAACTTAACGCATTATAAGCCGTTTGCTTGCCCCCCGAGTTTTTCTCTGTAGACCATGAGAGCTTATTCCTTACCTTCTCTCCACTCCAGTATTCCATTTGCTCGCTCCCGCATCCGTACCTTGATCCCAGACCTGATCTGCGCTTGTATACGTCTGCCTGAAGTCGACAATTCCGTCTATGCCGAAGTTCCCCTGAGAAAAAAAAAGGTTACCTGACCTGCGCTAAGTGGAGGAAGAAAAGACAGAACATATTTTCTGGTGAGGAGGAAAAGAACAAATCTGAGCATTTTCTGAGAAGAGGGATCTACATCCGTTGAACCTGACACTCAGAGCTGACGAGTCTCTGGCGTGAGCGAGTGGCGAGATAAGCATGTGAATGCCGCCACCAGTGTTCTCCAAATCAAATGCCATTCTGACACTGAAAATAACATATGAAATAAGATCTACCTCCCCAAGAAGTAACAAAACTAATGAAGTCGTTCGTAAGCATCGCAAAGCAATGAATGGGTACTATGGGAAATCCTTACAGCAGCCAAACCACCATGGCAAGCAGATTGCGGAAACAAAAAAAAGGAAAGGAAACAAAAAGAAAACGTAAAGAGATCACGGAAGAAAGCTATACAGGATCGAAAAATACGTACGTACCTTTCAAAAAAGTTCTCCTGTTGACAATCAATAAAATTTAGGCTTCCATACAAACGAGGTAGTTTATTCTGCGCAGACTCCACTGAAACAGCTGCGATGCGCAGAGAGCGGGGCAGCTCTTCCACTTGCAACACCGCAAAACATGAACCTAATAATCAATGGGATCAAATGGGATCAAATGGTGCTAATTGCAGAGTGTGCGTACCGCACGCTCGCTCACAGACAAAAGTCAAAACACTTACTGTCCAATGATGATAAGTTTGGAATCAACAACACAAAAATAGTTCCCCAGAATCCCCCACATATTTCTGCCATCCTCCTGGTATCATGTCTTTATTCCTCCATTTCCACTCAGTCACCTGGGCCTGTGTCATATGAAATCTCTCTCTCTCTCTCTCTCTCTCTCTCTCTCTCTCTCTCTCTCTCTCTCTCTCTCCCTGCCTGGGAAGAGCATGTAAGAATGAAAACTAGACCAGCATTCAGCTGGTTTGACAAAGAATACAGCCACTCAAGGAGGATGTCGTGTTTTAGCTTCAGCACGAAAGAGCCCCAGTGGCTAGACAAACAAGGGACCAGAGACACGATATAAAGGTAATACCACAGCAAGCAGTACCGAAAACGATCAGCTGATCGTTCCATCCAGCTGTCCTCACCTCCAGAATGGAAATGCATTCAGCAATAAATCGACAATGATGCTTGTACTCCTGCCACTTGCGGCCAAAAGCAGCCGCCGAACTTCGTCCCCCAAGAAGTAGCAAAATCAATTCAGTGGTTGCACTACAAAAAAAACACATGGAGAATTAAGTCCTTACCTCCAGAATCGATCTCTATTTACCGATAAGTAGCCTGACAACACCCTCGCATTCGTGCTGCGGAGCTGATTAATCAGGAGGCACCAGGTCGAACCAAGCGCACCTACAAAGAAATCTGCTTCCGCCGCAACCATCAAGTTCACAAATGCATTGTTTGTGCTTCGCGCCCTTCCGATACTCAGCTCATATTCATGCATGCTCTCCGATCCCTTCTGCCGAGGAACGTCTGTGTACAAGAACGTCCACGTAGGATAATTCTTCGTCTCTTCTATCACCTCCTGCAAAGTCGCAAACACGCAGTGCCAACCAACAAACACACATCATGATGTTACAAGTTCCATGCCCCGCACGACACGTGCAGATGGAAAAGTGACGAGCAACGAGCAGGCCAGTGTGCGGCAGCATCTTCATAAATGCCGTGGTGGTTGTGACTGGATACACGGGCTGACTCGTGAGTAGATCACAATTTAAAATTTAAAATACGTCACAGCGGACCTCCTGTATAAGAAATATTAAGAATGCATGTACATAAACCAACCACCAATGGTACTTGCCAACGCTCCAAGTGAACCAAAAATAGGGCCATGGACTTGGATCAACTTAGATTCACGAGCCAGTTGCTTTATTTTTCCTTTTGTCCTCTCCTGTGACCCCTGCGTAGACCACAATCTCGAGATTGACGAGCAGCTTTACCTTCCCTTTCGAAACAATAGTACCCTGACTGCCTCAACGGCAACCAAGCGTCAACCACCCCTCTCCCTGACCTTCAAGCATGCCGAAAGCCGGAATAAGTATACGGGGGGCACGGGGGGTACTGGCAGTTTAGACCACCAGTACGTTTCCCAGCCAGCCATTCTTTCAGAGTCCCAGCGTGCACACTGCCGCGACTCTCGGCGGAGTACCTGGGCGCCATTCCGCTGGACATTCATGCAAGAAAAAAGGGCCTCGCCCATTTCCTAGATGGATGGGCCGCAAATCGGTGGCCCGGTACTTCCCAAGAGCAGCACCAGCATGCACGCCGCAACTCTGAAAAAATAAGTGGGAAACGTACGGGTGGTTTAAGATTGTAGTTCTTAGTATTGCTAGCAACTTGTTACTTCATCTTCTCTTTCTTTATTTTTTTTGAACCATTTCTCAATTTATGCATGCCATCCCTGCGCAGGGGCCATGATCATCTTCTCTCTCTGTATGTTCCAATGGCCTTGCTTTTAACTCTATCAAAGATCAATGTATTTGACGTCAAGGCCTACGCTCTGTGCAAAAAACATGTGCACATACTTCCCGTCCATACATGTCATAATGTCTGGATTTGCGTCCAAGCGTGGTTTTCAAAAAAATAGCAAACACAACCGTAATTTTCCAGCAGGTGCTGCTCGTCCAAGCGTGGTTTTCAAAAAAATAGCAAACACAACGGTAATTTTCCAGCAGGTGCTGCTCCCCACCAATAGAAAAAAAAAAAAGCAAGAAAGGGGTCAGAGCAAGATCAGTCGACGAGTTACGTCAGCACTTACCACTAAGCGGATTGTCGACAAAGTTTTGTGCTTGAACTGAGACCATGCTGCCTTGTTCAACTAGAAATAAACTGCGGGAAATTGAACTAGAAAGTTAGTAGAAACGGCTGTAGTGAAAATGAAGAAACAAGACAAAGAAGAGGAGATTCGGATACACAAGATGCTTTTAACACGGTGGGACTTAAATGCTTTCACCATCACGGAATTATCACTACCGTCTTAACCTGAATACAACGTACGGTCATTATAACTGTATTTGGGACATCTTTGAGTCTAGATACAGCAATAATCACCGTACGTTGTATTCGGGTTAAGACGGTGGGGCAAGTTTGCGATGCACTTCTGGGCTTGGGACGACAGTTTCCACTGACAGAAGAGAAAACTGTAGCCACCAGATTGCCAATCGAACGAAACCGCTGACCACACCAGTCAGAAGAATGGGGTGGGCAAAAATACCATAATCAGCTGAGCACAAAGCAAGTTGGCTTGTGCACGAGCACGAGGCAGGGCTAGCTTCGGGGTTATTGGAAAACAGATTCGTCAGCAAGCTCCGAGGTTAATGGCTAATACTATAAACATACCGCTGTGTTTTAGACCACGAAGAGCTGCCTTACTGATGCGAGATGAGGTGATGAATTTCTGTTGGACGACGTGCACAATCTGAAGACGCGGTTCTGATGGTCTGGTCTTCCATCCTGTAGATTGTGTAATCCTGGCCAGACTGCGCTCATGTGCCCCATATTATATCACGAAGGCATGCAGAGCCTCTTTGCTCGCAGTGAGTGCGTTGTTATTGCGGAGTAAGAATATTAGCCTCAAAAGATCTTTTATCTTTTTTCTTTTTTTCAGATCACCACTACCTCCAAGCCTCTTTTTGCCAAGGCAGAGTCGAACTGCGTGCCAATGGGCGGACAGAGCGCTGGTGAGGCATTTTTGTTAGGCATTTTTGTTTTCTTTTGTCTGGCGCCACCAGCCTTTGTGGTCCGATAGCGCCCAGCCTCCGCCGGCCTTGGAAGAAACCGGTACAGGTTACTTGATGACTTAGCCTCCCAGGTTTAAACCACTACCGTCTTCACCCGAAAATAACGCCTGGGCGTTATATTCAACTTAGCCTTAAAAGATGAGATTTTCGTTTTTACTCACTTTTTTTCAAATAGAACGCCCGGGTGTTATATTTGAATATATCATGGGCAGAGGGCCTTGAAAAGGTAGTATACATGGGTTTTAAAGGGCGGGAAGGGGGTATACATGGGTTTTTAAGAGGGTAGAATGGGGTTTTGACTTCCAAGGGGTATATTTTGGGTTTAGTTTTCGTTTTTATTTTGTATTTCCGAGTTTATAAGGAATTCTTTTTTTTTTTTTTTTTTTTTGGGAGAACGCTGGCAGCGTAGTATCATATGATCCAGGCGCTCCGGCCTGGTTCATATGATGGCTGCTTTTGAATTATGAAAGCCGGAAAACAGGTCCAGCGTCCCTCACATCATAGAAAAAAATTAACAGAACGAACAAAAGAGGAAGTATACACAAAACCCTAACTGTAGATAACAAAATCGTCCATCCTCTGATAATCACTTAACCTTACGTATCCGCCCTACCTCCCGCACGGCAGGGGTCTGGGTCTCAGACCCCGCAAAACCCACCCACCTCCTCGCGATTCAGGGTACACCCCTCCACTCATCTGCTTGTCGCCTCACGAAACCTCACCGCCCACCGTGATGAAGCACCCGCGGAGCGACGCTCCCCAATCCCAGGCAAAAGAACAGGATGTCAGAAAAAATTCCCAACCACATATAATGAGACGAACTCGAACCAACAAATTCACCCCTGTGAAAAAGCCCTGCCACCCGCGCGGCAAGGGTCAAAAGACCCTGCAAACCCACCCACCTCCTCGCGATTCAAGGCTATCCACTCCCCCAATCTGTGCCAACCTCCTAAGAGACCTCACCGCCCACCATGACGAGGCCCATGCAAGACGGCACTCCCAATCGCCTCAACCAACCAATACTGTGATCCCTACATTTAAGGCGAACAGAGACCACGGATCCGAAGGGATCGACATTTTCAACCTACCAACACAAAGATACACAAGTTAAAAACACTCACCTAACTCGGCAAAGCGGATGCACAGATGTTACCTAACACGGTAAACTATGTGCCAGAAAATTGCAACCCCTACAACAAAAAGTTGATAAAATCCCAGGAATAAAATTGGGATAAACAACAAAACACACTCCACGCAAAAGCAAACTCCCCAGACCTACAAACTTCATTAATACAAAGCAAAACTCTCTCATGCTATCGATCACGTTCATCAGCTCTAACCATGAGAGCACTCTCATACTGTCGATAAGGTTCATCAGCTCGAACCATGAGAGCAAAGCGAACAGAACGTACTAATACACAGAGCAAAACCTAACCGCAAAGTGACACAACAACACCCACAACTGATACTAAAAACGAAACCACTCGCCTAAAACAGCGAGCCTCAACCCAAATTGCACCGCAGCAACGACCAGTCTTTTCATGGAATACAAAAGATCCAAGGCAAAGCCAAGCCGCCATCACACACCTACTCTCTTTCAACATAGAAAGCAAGCGAACAACAGCTTTCCACCACCCTCGTACCCTGCCCACTCTCTTTCAGCACAGAGAGCAGAACCACAATCTTGCACAGCAGCTTCCCGTCACAAAACTCTGGCAACCTCTGACAAAACAGGCCGTAGGGCTCCAACGAGACAGCTCGTCAATCATCTCGCAAAACTTCTTCTCTCACGAAACAATCAGCAAAGCAGCCTAGAAAGCCGTGGGCGGCAATCAACAGTCCATAACACAATCCRAACTCCAGCGTCCCGAACTGTTGCATATCTAGGACCAGGGGGTGAACAAACCCCTGATCGGTTTTCATATCTGGTATTTCGCGGCGATCAGATCCCGCCCCTCAGTCGTCCCCACTTCTGCCATGAACCCAACGCGACTGAAAGGGATTGCTAACGTACAAACGCTGACCGGGATCAACCATAGCCAGGGACCAGGCAATGGTCCCTGTTAAACTCACGTCCCTCCTGCGCCCGCGCGCCCCATCACCCCACAAAGTTCCTGCTATGCCAACAGCAGGCTCTGGCATCGGGAGCTAACGCAGCGCTGCATAGCTCCGCTAAGCGATCCCCCGCCGCCCAACTGAACAACTTTTGAAGTGACCCTCAGCCAAAAGTTGGTCGACTTCCAATCCTGGACAACAATTTTTTTTTAAAGAATTTTTTGATTTTTTATTTCGGAATTTTGGGGCCTCACCGTAGTTACTACAAATTTACTGAATATAACGCCCGGGCCTTACGCCCGGGCGTTATTTTCGGGTGAAGACGGTAGTGCCGCCGCCAGTGCTGGGAAAACAGGGAAAAGTGGCAGTTTTCCCAAACTCGTAAAAATTTGGAGGCAGGGCCCGACGCCGGCTGCCATTGATAAATCTGATCGGGCGTCCGTCGTTTCGTTTCGGCCTCTGAAAAGATCGGAGGCCCACCCGAGGCCCGCTATTTTCCCACACGGAAAAGGTACCAGTGGTTTAAGAAAAGACCTTGTATCAGGGTTGCCGGCGTTCGGGACGGGCCGGACGCCCGAACCCGAACGCCCGAACGTTCGGCACCCCCTCTCCATGCGTTCCGGCGTTCGACGGAACGCGGACCCAAAAAAAAAAAAAAAAAAAAAAAAAAAAAAAAAAAAAAATCTGAAACAAATATATGTTATGCAAATAATAATAATGACAATTACAAAAAATAAAACGAGAATGAAATTATTGAGTGGGCGAGCACGTTTTTGACACCGCCATCTTTGGCGATTTTTCATTTTTTTTTGGCTGTCAGAAATGCCATTAAAATGTACGTATGTGTATATTACATAATAGAGAATCTACAAATAAAGTTTGAAAAAATAATAATTTTGTTCATGCCCCGAAATAAAGGAAAAACAAAAAGTGAAAAGAGAGAAAAAACAAATTCGTGAGTGGGCAAGCAGGTTTTGACACCCCCATCTTTGCCAATTTTTTTTCTTTTCTATTTTTTTCGTTTTTTTTTTCTTTCTTTTTTTTTCCTTTTTTTTTCTTTTTTTTTGAATTTTTTTTTTTTTTTCATTTTTTCATTTTTTTTTTTTTTTTTTTTTTTTTCTTTTTTTTTTTTNTTTTTTTTTTTTTTTTTTTTTTTTTTTTTTTTTTCTTTTTTTTTTTTGGCGAAGCAGAATGGCGTCAAAATTTAGAGGGAGGTACCTTACATCCCAATGAACTCTCAAAAAAAAATTCAGAAAAAAATAACAATATTTAGGTGCCTGTACGGGGACCCGAACGCCCGAACGTTCGGGGGTCAGCTTAGGGGCCTCCGTACGTTCGGTCTGGCAACCCTGCCTTGTATCATATTTGTCTTCATTCAGCCGAGAAATTTTAACAACAGCTTGCTACCCACTTACTGTTTTGCTCTGTCAGAGAGTTGTCGGCAGCAAAGCTTCTCCTCCTGTAAGGCTTCTTGATTTATGTTTAACACGACCAGGTGTCGCTATTTCCATAAGAAACGGCTCCTGGAACTTTGGCACTCTCCACATGAGACCTGCATTGCAGCTCCTCGTTGAGACTGAGATGTTTGCCTGTAGTTCGTGTCAATGTTTCCCCCTCAGGATCGCTTGCTGCTACCAAGGGAATCCTCGTTGGTTTCTCTTCCTCCGCTTAAGAGTTATATGCTTAAATTGGGCAGGTGGCCCCTGTAGCGTTTCCGTTCTCCTTGACTTGCAAAACACCTTATGACTGTGACAATGGTCTGCACAATGCACATTCCTTTTCTGTTCTCTCTTCCATTCTTTTGTTCTTCTTTTATTTTCCCTTTTTCTTAACCACCACTACATACGAGCCTCTTTTGGCCGAGGCGGAGTTGAACTGCACGCCAAGCTTTTTGCCGAAGCAGCAGTGCAAATTGTTTTCTGTTGTTTTGGCTGGCACCACCAGCCATTTTGGTCCGGCCTCCGAAGAATGCCGCATAGGTTACACTGAATATATTCACAACTTAGCCTTCCCCTCTGAAAGCTACCGTCTTCACCCGAATATAATACCCTGTCATTATAGTTGTATTTGGCACAACTTTCAGCCCAGATACGGCAATAATTACCGGGCGTTCTATTTGGGTGAAGACGGTAGTGGTGGTTCAAGTACCATTTCTCATTTTCTGCGTGTTGTAACAGATGTTGCACGGACCCAATATATCTTGCACAAAATGGATTCCAGTTCACGACAGCACATATGCCAATACGCAGTTCAACACGAAAATAAGCAGATTTTTTGCAGCAGCACTAAAGTAACAAGAAATACTCGTGAGCCCTGCACTCACCTGCATCTCGGTGCTCAGCCAAATAAACTTGGCATGGGGGAATTGTCGTCGAATCTGCTCTGCCAGGGCCATGTACTCTGAAAATGGTGCAAGACGCATTTCCTTTCCCTTGTCACCAAGCCTTACGTGAAGGCTTACGAAAGGCCGAGGAATTGATGGCCGTACCCTCTTCCAAACATCCACCTGAAGTGTTCGGTCACTCAAGAGACCACCATTCTGTACCTCCGTGAGCCAATCATTGCCCTCCTCCTCCAGGAGTTTCCTTCCGGGGAGATTCTGACGGCCGCTCTCCTTGTCTGCATCCCCACCTGTGCCCGTTCTCTCCGGTGCCTTAAATAGCTTGCGTCTGCTGATCAGTTTCTTGCTTCTAGCAGGGCTACTAAAGATCTCATTATACAGTCCACTCTGAATTACCTCCTTCGCAATCACAGACCCAAAACTGTCATGCCTTGCTTGATTAAGCAACTCGCATAAATACTCGCTGGGATACCGCATCATGTACCGGATTGCCTGTGCCCTCCACCAAAACACCTCGTCTACCCTCGTCTGCCCAACAATCCGTCCCTCTACCTGATCTGTGCGCTGCATAACCTTCCACGGTTCTCCCCAGATTCTGATTCCACATACCAGAGAGAGTTCGAAAGGGAAATCGCAACGAGGTTCCACATATCACACATCAAAACAACAAATAAGACCAACCAATTTTCCTTTGGCACTCTCCTCTGGGATCACCCAACACTCCATATAAAAAAAAACTGATGAAAAGTGCGCATTGGATCTACTGCCTGGCATTTTATATGCCATACACACACGAGTGACAATTTCCGCTCTACAGGACATCCTTAATAAACCGCACGTCTCCCCGCTATTTCGTTTCGCCGTGGTGGCCTACCCACAGCGTGGACAGGGGCTTCGCCCTACCAGACCAATAGTGCTGACATCGGCAGCCAAAAAGAAAATAGCTTCTGCTCACTCCGGCTCTTTTTTGTTGGCACGTAGCTGCAATCTGGGTCGGAAAAAAGAGGCTTCCACATACTGGTGGTTAAAATGCCATCCACACCAATAGTGCTGACATCGGCAGCCAAAAAGAAAATAGTTTCTGCTCACTCCGGCTCTTTTTTGTTGGCACGTAGCTGCAATCTGGGTCGGAAAAAAGAGGCTTCGACATACTGGTGGTTAAAATGCCATCCACAACAGTGCCCCAGAGAAGTGTGCACAGGAGAAGGCAGACCCCGATGCATACAAAAGTCAGCAAACAGAGGACAAAAACTCCTTCCACCATCTGATAGCAAGGTGACTCCAGAGGGGTGATACTACTTTCAACCAGACGCAAAAAAACTTAGGAGAGCACCTGGCCTTGGGCCTCAGTTTCAGGAATGCAGGACAGATAGCGATGGGACGCCGGACCCGGTTTCCAGCACCTGTGTTCTTTCTCAACTCAGCTCATGTTTTTTTTTCCATGAACTTTCATGATTTTTCATGAGGGACGCTGAGCCTGGTTCTCAGCACGTGCTGCTCCCCACGAATAGACTGAGCCTGTTTKTTAAAAAAAAAAAAAAAAAAAGCTCGACGAAAAGATCAAAAAGAGAGAAACACCTAACCAAACCCCATAAATACTTGGCAATCACCTAGTAACCCCTGTATCAAGCCATAATCACCTCAGTAACCCCTGTATCAAGGAATAACCCCTTAACCTTCCATGTGCCTTCAAGATCGGGGCAATTCATCAGTTTGTCATCGCCCCAGGAAGTTTTGCTAAGCCCTCACAACAACAGCTCAAAGTGAAGGGCATCCGCTTAAACTAGAACTGTTGATTAGTGGCCCCCCTTGGAAATCGAGTCAGACACACGGGGACGGCAGACAACCGCAATGTGACTGAGAATTTCCATCCCACGGACCAGCGGAAGAAAAAGATGGGCCGCCTTCTGGTAACACGGCGGGTTGCTCTAATGATTGTGATGGTTCAATGGAAAGGTGTGCAGACCTTTTTGCACAACATACACCCAAGTTCATTCCACCGTAAAAGTGCATGAACCTGGCTGCCAGGTCATCCAGGTTCCTTCATGCCAAGTTCCGGTGTCATCGCAGACTAGACTGAATGAACTGAACATGCCGGTAGGGTGTGTATTACCATTTACATTCATGCTAACAGTCCACTGCCTTGAATACACAGGGGTCAAAAAACTGTCCATGTACCTTCAAGTCCCACAGTGACCCTTGCCAACAATTTTCCGCTCCCTGAAACACTGTTTACAGAAAAAGCATATCAGTTTGGGTGCGCTGCAATGTTCATGCAGTTCCTCAGCAGGCTGTGACGATAACCGAGATATTTTTGTGATTCCTCTAAGTTATGGGTCCTAACTGGTACCTGAACCTGGGCCTAAACCGACAGGAACTTGTCCGCATATTCCCTAAGCTGCTGCCAAAACTAGTACCTACTGAGCCTACACTCGTTTTAGGCCTAAACCAACTGCTACACAATTGTTTCCTCAGACTCGTACCACAGTTGTTGGTAAAACAAGACCCATAACTATCAGTGTCTTAGCTTCTAGGAGAGTCCAGTCCGGTAGGTCTATATCTAGGTTATGACCGACCGTTTTTTTGGTTAGTTATTCCGTTGAGGTCATCGGGCTGCTGGAGCAGTAGCTTAGCTGTGAATCCGCTCCTGTGTTTCGGAGTTCCGGCTGGGGTTCCGCAACTAGCCCGGGTCTTGGGAAAGGGCAGTGAAGCCTGTGCCCACCGCTGGCAGCAGCTCTTTCTCTTCTTCTTGGAGCGGGAGCTTCCTTCTTCACTCTGGGATTGGCACTGAGCGAGTCTTTTGAGTGCGTTCTGAGGTGGTGCTGACGGTCCAGAGGGCTGTACGGCTGGGCACATGGAATTCTGAATGGGCGGCGTAGCCATACAGGCTGGCAATGACGGATATGATCCTGTTGCAATGAGGGAGGTTCTTTAGGCTTGTGCAACTGGTGTTTGGATTTTGTTCAAGGCAGTCTCTACTCAGTTGTGATTCTTGGCTACTTGGAATTGGTCGTGCTCAATTCTGCTTGGCTTGGTGGTTCCACTGTGCATATCTCTCGTCGGTTTGGTGCAAATCTCTCTCCAAATCAGTCCTTCCATCTCTCCGTGTGCATGGAAACATAGATGGTGATGCTTTACTGAAGAGCGATTTCAACCAGTCACATAGCAGCGCAAAAGTCTGGCCCTTGACTACGGAGGTACTGCTTAGGCACGAATTGGTCACCGCTCCAACATCAGGGGTGTTTCTGGCCACAGGCGAGGGATGGAGAGGAGAGGCCCAGGGCAAGGGTGGGGGGAAAGCTTTACGTCCTCAACGAAAATCCGCCCTCCCTGCCAAACACCCCGAATAAATACCATCATCCATCTCACACCGAATTTGAACCCTTAAGCGACAACCATAATGTACACTAACGAAATGCACGCTAGAAAAACATTCGCCATACACACACACACGCACGCACGCACACACACACACACACACACACACACACACACACACAGAAGGTACTCTCGCAAGGGGGAAAAGGACATCTGAGATCACAGGCCAGGCTATACTGGGCCGTCTTTGTGATGGCCTACCATGAACCTGGACTGGATTTGGACCAGGTTTGCCTTCCTTCAAGGCATATCTACATCCAGTTGGGGCCTTCTTCTGATTGCTTTCCCCACAGTTTAGTCAACTCACACCCCAACTTCCAATAACTCGTCTTGCTGGGCTAAGAAACAGCTAAATCCAAGTGCATTCAACAGTGAACAAATAATTTAACCGGAGGGTCAGCGAATAATACTTTCCATAGAAGTATACAACACAACTCGCTTCTGACATCGGTTGTCTCATCTCATGCGAGAAGACAGGATCGACATCGGTTGTCTCATTTCACGAGCGAAGACAAGATCACAAAACAAACCACGTGCATCAAATCAAGTTCTTTCTTTGGACAAATGCAAACAAATGGAATTCTCTCTTGAGAAAGAAAAGGAGGGAAAAAAAAGCACTCGACTTTTTAAGTCTCCCCTCACCTGGGCGCCTTGGGGAACCACATCCACTGTGGCTTGACATTCCCACGGGTAGCAACCTCCATTGATCCCTTCGACCATGCCCGTCCTCGTCTCCATAGATAGAGTCCCCGAAGCCTGCACTCTAAAGACGTTTCCGGAGCGAAGTAGCAGGACCAGTTTTTGCGGTTCCTGCCTGCATTGAAAACAAAAAAACAGGAAACATGAGACAGAAAACTATAAGAAAAGGTATGAAAACCTCCGCCGCAAAAAAGGATATGTCCACCCACGAAAGGAAAGGATGTTCCAAAATCCCCACAGAATTTCACAATTGGTCCATGGTTCATATCCAGTGCAAGAAAGAGCTCGTTACACAGGGACGCTTTTGCCACCGGACAAAGACAGAAACAGCAACAGCAAAATTTTATGAAGATGGAAAAACCACCATAAAAGGGCCTTTACCCGATATAGGCCTCAGGCCTTGTAAAAATAAAGCAGCACGGGCCTTGAAAAAGTAAAGCATTGTGAAAAGGTATCTCGTCAGAGCTCAGAAACGTGAAAGCAGGTCAAAGGTCAAGTTCTCTATCAACAGGCA